GGGGTGGAATGGGTCATTGGGGAGAAAAAGGGACATCTGTAATATTTTAAACAAAAATAAACAAAACAAAGTATACACCTTAGCGCAGACCTGGGAAACATCTCCCCTCACTGACTCCCAGTGGCAGTCCCCACAAAGCAGGGAAGGATAAGGAAGGGGCACAGTCCTGGGAGTTCAAGCCAGGGCTCTGGAGCTTCACCCATCTCAACGCACACGGCAGACATCAGAACTGCTCGCTACCAGAGGATCTAACCTTGCAACAAGGACCACCCTACAGCCATCTGGAAAAGGGTGGGGACCACACTTGTCTGCTAAGAGGTAGAGAAATTGGCCTCCAACAAATTCACTCTTCAAAACAGCTGCGTATTTCCTTTTGAACATTTTATGGTCCTGGACACGAGCAAGAAGGGGCATGGGAAGAAGTGAAGAAGATACAATATATTTTCAAATGACAATTATTTCAGTGAAAATTAAAACAATGGTGAGATTTCTCTCTGTTGTACACCTTAAGACTAAGAAAGAGAGGGAAAGATACCTAACTGCATGCTATCTCACGTAAGAACAGGTGTTGGTAAACTTTATGAGGAGATATTTAATTGGTCATGGACAATGCTTTAAAGAATACACGTGAATCTGTCTGCTGCAACATCTAACATCTTCTAATCTGAATAACTATTTGCATATATATGAGCTACTTGACACAGGAAACAAAGTTAATTGAAACAATGAACCCTAATAAATAAGAATTATAAATAAAAATAGAGCATTTTGCAAAATGATGAAGTTGAAAAAGTAAAATTCATTGTTCAATAAATAATTCATTTACATACTTCTTTTTAAATAATGCATTTACTGGATAAACAAGGTATACCTGTTTCTAAAGAGTACTGGATAAAAAATACATAGTCTACCATAAGCTACATGTCACAGTGAGTGAATAGTAAATTCAAGCCCTAATTTGTTGCCATGAGCAGGCAAACTTCCAGATGCTATAAACTGAATCTGACAGAAATCGATTTTATACTAAGATAACCAAAGACCTGCCATATAATTATTTTAATATATAGGCCATTTTATCAGCTGTCAAAGAGATCCCTTGAGTACTGAAGAATGAAAAGACTAAATTTACCCTTGCTCAAAATAAAACAAAATACAAAACCCTATTAATTATGTAAAATGATAGAAGCAAAAGCTCTCATTTAAAAGAGGGGATGTTTTCAATTTTTCCCCCCTCACTTTACTTGGATTTTATTTTTAAGGCTTGGCTTAGATCTAAAATTTGTCCATCTGCTGAGGAATCTCATTTTCTTTATGGAATAAAAACAGTTCAAGAAGGCCACATCATAGTTATATAGAAACATGAAAATATTTACTCTCTAAAGACAACATTTATCTTGGCAGTTGGTATTTTCAAGATGGTGAGCCTGCTGGAATCATGCAAGTTCTAATCCTAATATAAAAAATTTTAAGTAAGACAATAGCTATCTTTCCTTGGAAGTACAGGAAATGTACATGTAACTAACTTGTGTGGTCTGCCATACATGCCATTCATAAATGGTACCGGTAGAAGGTTAGATAAATAGTTTGGATGTTACTCTTCCAGTCTCATTCAACTGAACTTCTTAAAAGGGCTCTTATTATCTGTGTGTCCTTGGGTAATATTGTGAATCTATTTCTTAACCTGTCAAGTTCCACAGCTACCTTGAAGGGTTATTGGAAAACTGAGATGATGTTTATAAAGGATCCAGAGTACAGTGTCCAACACACAATAATTACTATTATACTCAGCTATTTATTAATTACTAAAACATTTATAATCTCTATTGGATAAGTTAATACTTACTTTTGTAAGGTCCTCCAGGTCCTTGATTGATTTCTAAGGCAAAGAATATTTTTAATTAGGTAATATGTGCAACAAAGTACCAAATATCACCAGTAAGTAGTATGTTCCTTCCAACCCCAGACCTGAGTCAGTTTCATGTGGATCCTTTTAGGGAAAATCTGTGTCTATACTAGCACCGAATATACATAAGAAAAGACAGCATACTGTGCACAGCATTCTGTTCCCTGCTTCTTTCATTTAACAGTATAACTTGTAGAATGGTCTATATCCCTACCTATTAGTGCTGTATCAGTCTTTTTCATGCATAGATATAGCCTTATTTATCCAATAAATCTCATTTTTAATTTATTTATTTATTTTTTCTATTTTATAAGCAATGCTGCAATGAACATCCATGTATTCATTTTGCATATGGAAGGATATATCTATAAGGTAAATTCCTAGAAATAAAATTGCTGGATCAAATGGTATGTGTACTTTCAATATTGAAAGTTATTGTCAAACTACTTTTCATAGAAGTCATACCAATTTAAATTCTTACCAGATACGTATGAGAGTGGGTTTCCCCCACACTTACAAGGAGTTATTAAGTGTTATGGTCTGTACTGCCTGGTTTGTGAAAAATGACATGATTGTGCTTTTTAAAAAAAAAATTTAGAGGGTTTATTTTTTAAATTCAGAGAGGAAGGGAAAGATAGACATATCAATGATGAGAGTCACTGATTGGCTGCCTCCGGCACGCCTCCTACTGGGGATTCAGCCTGCAACCTGGGCCTATGCCCAGGCTGGGAATCGAACCTGTGACCTCTTAGTTCATAGGGTGACGCTCAACCACTGAGCCATGCCAGCTGGGCACGTTATTGTGCTTTTAATTAGCATTTCTATTTCTGGGCTCTATTCTGTTGATCTATTTATATATCTTTTCATCGGTACCACACTGTGTTGATTATTGTAGCTTTAAAAAGTCTTGAAGTCAGTAAGTATAAGTATTCCAATTCTGTTCTTTTTCAAAATGGTTTGCCATTTTTAGGTTTCTGCATTTTCCAGGAAATATCAATTTTTAAAAAGCCTGCTGGAATTCTCACTGGAAGTGTGTTGGATTTACAAATCAATTTGGGAAGAACTGACACCAATATTGAGTTTTCTGACCTATGCACATAGTATATCTCTTCACATATTTAGAGATATGTCCTATCTCTTAGCAATGTTTTATAGTTCTCAGTGTACAAATCTTGCACATCTTTTGTTAGATTCAGCCCTAAGTACAGTCAATTTTTGTTAGTTACCATAGTTACATTCTGCAAACTTGGTGCAAACACGGAATTAGTGAATACCTAGAGGAAATACAGGGTTAGGTTCCTTGAGCCATTGGTCACAACATTTTTGTCAACTGATCAATATGTAAACTTGTTTCATACGTGTTTCTGTTTAAAGACACCTTGTTTAATACACATTTCTTACAAATAATTAACTGTTTATAGTATGAAAATTGAAGCAAAAAGGCAGAGTGTTGCCTTGCTCTACCTCAGCTGGCAACTCAGATTTTTCACTATGCTGTTCATGCCCAAAATTGACTGGGAAAGTACCACAAGTATTGATTTGAGCGTTACAAATAAATTTTGGTGAGCAGGCAAATGCTACTTACTGTAAGTGGTTTGTTTATTTTTAATTTGGTTTCTGAGCTTCTGCAGTGTCTTTTTAAAACCTCCTCACATTATGGCCTGTGTTTTCTTTGCCTTATGTTCTTTATTTTATATGATTACTCAGAAGAGTTGTATTTCGATTTTTGTGGTTACTTTTATATATACAACTACATAAACATGGTTGCACTCATTAACTTTCTAATAAGGGCAATAATTCATTTCCTCTTACCATCCTCCCACACACACTTTTAATTGACTTTATAATGTTTCTTGCTGTTTGATTTTTTTAAACCTTTGAATACTTATATCTTTCTGTTTTAAATGATAGTTTTTGTCTCCCAGCTATAAAATCTGAGGATATTAGCATCACACACTACCTCTCACCTTTTCTCCTCTCCCTTTTATTTTACTAATTATTTCTACATTGTCTGACTTCATAACATTTACATCCTATTCTGTGGCAATCACTCTTGTTTTAGTTCTACAGAGCACAATGAATTCAATGATTAGATGCAAGTCTCTTTGCCAGAGAGTCTCCATTCACCTTCTATTTGGCTGAAATTTGTCTTCTGGTAATTTCTTCAGTAAGGGCTCACAGACATTATATATCCTGAGTTCTTACATGTTCACCAATATTTGTTTGTTGTCTGGTGCTTAAAAGAAATTTGGGGCAAGTAAAGAAAGCTTGAGTCACTAGATTATTAAATCCTTGGATAAAAGAATCAGAGCATCTAGCATTGTGCAATAACCTTCTGAACAATCCTCAGATGAAATGAGTCACTAACAAAAATGAATCAAAGGTATTTTTCACAAAAATGCTTTCTCCTATGTATATTCTATCTTAAAACATTTACATTCTGGCTATATTTGATGAGAATTCAAATGTATTCAAGAAAATAGGGATATCATATAAACAAGAATCCAGTGGTGACAACAACAGCACTGGAACATCTCAGGGATAACAGTCTGATGTGGAAAATCTGTAGACAATCCATTTATATATAATCAAAACTCACTAGGAAAGTAAAATGGCTTGATATTGAGTATAGTGGGATTCAGATCTGATTTGGTTATGAAATCATTAAGATTATTACCATTGATTAGAAAGTCTATCAGTAAATAACACAATGTTTATTCCTTGGGTGACGCCGTGGAACAAAACTCCTAGAACTGCAGCTAAAAGTGACCAGGGTCAATACTGTGTTATTAGACTTGCTGTCTAGCTAAAGGAAGACAAATGAAAGGACAGATTTTGCCTTAGGACTCTGCCTCTAGATTGATCCTTAAAATAAAGAGCATTTGCCCAACCGGGTGTGGCTCAGTGGCTGAGCATTGACCTAGGATCCAGGGGATCACGGTTCGATTCCTGGTCAGGGCACAAGCCCAGTTTGCAGGCTCAATCCCCTAGTTGGGGACGTGCAGGAGGCAGCCGATCAATGATGACTCTCTCATCAATGATGTTTCTCTCTCTCTCTCCCTCTCTCTTCCTCTCTCTGAAATCAATAAAGATATATTTAAAACAATAAAATAAAATAAAAAAATAAAGAGCCCTGACTCTAATTTTTTGAGAAGAGACAGAATAGAAATAAATTTTACCAAAAAAAATGTGTTGCTACCTAGTGGATGAAGTCTGTGCTGAATGGTAAACCCTAAAGATACCACATATCAAAGCAACTTTTCAAAAATAAAATTATGCAACCAGAGTAGACAAGTCTCATTTACAGTACTTGAAAAGCTAACACTCTTCAGTCATATATTTATGTGTTAAGTTTAACTAGATTAACAATCTACAGGTATAAAATCCTCTGCTTGCATAAACTCTGAAAATAAGAAACCCAAAAGAGATTTATAAAATAAATGTCTGCACCTTAATAACCAAATTAGTGATAATTTCTGCACATAGAGTGCTTTTTCAAGGTAGAGCATTTTTATGTGTATTATTTTACTCAATCATTTAGTGCACACAACCATGACGTAACATAGGTATAATTATCCCCATTTTGTGAAATAAGGAAACTGACTTGGAGAAGGTAAGTGATTTTCTTAGTGCAAGTCTACACTGCAGTGCACACTCTGTCATTATACTTCATTGCTTTTTTAAGAAAAGAATTTCCAAGTTTGGGGGAGGGGGTTTACATAAACTTTCATAACCTAATTTATGAGATCATAGCTTTGGGAAACATTTTGAAAGCAATGTAGTTCAGCCACCTATCAAACCCTATTTCCATCATCAGAAATGAAGAACCATAACAGGAGAGGAGAACCAGGAAAATATGGCATCGTATGCAAGTAAAATTAGTAAGAATGGGTTACAAAAACAAATGGTAATCAACACTGTCAGCTGGGGCAGAGAGATTAAGCAGGAGAAATCAAGAAGGCCAATGAATTTAAGTCATTTGTGCAGCCACAGTAGACAGTTTAAAAGTATTAACACAAGTTGAAACTGAGGCATATTATTCAAAACTTTCTAGAATCTCCTTGACCGCATACCATCCTTGCCAATACCATTCAGTCCAAAAAGTTGCCAAACGTGAACAACTGGAAAACCTTTTCCCTATAGCCAGAACTTTCAGGGCGGGGGGAGGGGGGTGGATTCCAAGGCCCATACAAGTATCTAGAGACAGCTGGTTTGTACCTCACTACAGTATTTCCTTCTCTTAGTGAAACCTCTCTCATTTCTGATTTTCTTCAAACCACATGGCTCCCAATCCCTTACTCTCCTGGTTATCCCACTCTGAACATGGATCTGCAGGTCTACATTCATTTTGAAGTCTCCATAACTGAACATCCCAGTGTACATATGGGCTGCTGTATTATCTCAGCATAAGATTACGTGAGCTTCTTGAGGTACTCACCACACTATTTACTCCCATGAAGATTATCATCAAACCCTCAAATGTAGTTTATAAAACCTGTTTTGCATACTTTAAAAATCAGCTTTACTTAAGTATAATTTACACTTAATAAAGTTCACCAATTTTAAGTGCACAATTAGATGAGTGTTGACAAATGAATATCATCATGTAACTATCTCTTCAATCAAGATATAGAAAGGTTCCATCATCCCAGTCCCCTCAGGTCTCCTGGCAGCCAATCCCCCTTCCTTTCCTCTTTCCCAACAACCACTGATTTGTTTTGTGTCACTAGAGTTAGATCTTTTCTAAAATATATAAATGAAAACTTAATGTATAGTCTTTTGTACTGGCCTCTTTAAATTACCAAAACTTTTTGAGATTTATCTATGTTGTCTGTATAGGTACATAATTTGTTCCTTTTTCTATTTATTAGTGGTATTTCATTGTATGGATATACTATGATTTGTTTATCCATCATTAGCTGATGGATATTGACATTATTTCCAGTTTTTGCCTATCATGAACAAGGCTTTGA